AGAGGGCTGCTTGGCTCCCGGGGTTAAACCCGAGTAGAGAGAAATGGGAAGACAGGGACAGCCAAGGAGAGAGGGGAGAGAGCCAGAGAAGTAGAGTGTCTGGCCTTTCTTAAGAGAAGGGACATGGTCTGGTGGTCGAAGGCGCACCCGCATGCCCCCAGGGACACACCAAGAGACAGTCATGGAGCCAGCAGGTTTGCAAGGCAGGACGCTGCCACTAAGTGAACAGTCCTCTACTGGATATTTAGTGATAATCCACAAGCACGACTGACTGTGTGATAGTGGCCAGGAGACATGGGGCCCAGGGGAGCCGTATCCAGGGGAGACAGAGGGCCGTCAGCTTTAATGGGGAACATGAGAGGACATGCGGCCTAGTGTGCAGGGAGTAGCATCCCGTGCAGGTGCTTGTGTCCTTTTCAGGCTGGACTCTGACCACACAGTCAGCCAGCGACTCCCTCCGCGTCCCCTGGCGCCGTGATGTCAGCCGCGGCCCAGGGCGGTCGTGCAGGAGCGCCTCATCCAAGCCTTTCACACATACGTAGGTGCACGGAGAGGCCTGGCACGCAGGCGCAGAGGCCCCAGGTGGAAGACATGGGAACCAGATGGGAGCAGATGGAGGGTGATGGGTGGGCTTGGTGGTAAGAAGTCAAGGTCATTCGCTTTTGCTAGTAACTTCCTTATTTTCTCCGGTACAAGGAGAGGCTATGAACTGGCAATGAGGGGTGCGGCTTTGAGGTTCTGGAATAATCACTTCAGAGAATGGGAAAGAGCCTACGTTGAAGTTGGTGGGTTTATCGCCCATATATGGATGAGGCCGTGTGTGTGTGCGTGTGCACCCGCACTGGTGTGGCTGACTGCGAAGCCCTCTGCTACAGGCTCAGCCAAGGCAGGTGGTCGGATTGCCTGGGATTCGAGTTTAGTGGGAATTGCAATGCAGGGAGGTGGCCAGGAAGAGGTGACTTCCAGGGGGAGCATAAGGGAGTTTGGGGGGTGATTGAAGGGTGCTACTGGTGATAGGTACACGAGTCTGCGTTTGCCAAAATCTTTAAGACTGTGCACCAAAAAATGAATCTTACTGTAAGTAGAAAAATAAAATCTAACCAGGATGTCAGGGGAAGATGGAATGCAAACTATGGCGAGTGAATCTAACCATGTTACAAATTACAAAGTTATGATCGATAATAAAACATATTCTGGTCGGTCACACTTCCTGGCTCACAGCTCCCCTGACACATGTAGTTCCCTGAGGGTAACAGTAGTGGCAACACCTTTATAATACTTGGTCTCTGGTTCTCAGTTCCTGAAATCAGAGCTGTAGAGGTGAATAGATGCCTCGTCGTCCATAGCAAACCCGTTCGTAACCACATTTGAATGAAGTGACCTGGAGAGCACTAGCAGCTGGGGCTGGCTGCCTGGGGAGCCAGCCACTGGATTAGCACAGGGCCCTTTGGGGCCCCCCAGCCTCCTGGAGAGGGAGGGGCTGAGGTTGAGCCAGTGGCCAGCGAGTTCTCCGCAGAGCCCCAGGTCCCAGGCCCTGGAGATTCAGGGCGGGGGTGTGTGTGCTGAGTGGGTGCTTCCCCCTCCCTGGCCTGTCCAGTTCCTCCGGCTGGCTGTGCCTGGGTGACTTACCAGTGAAAGATAACTTACTCCTACCAGGACGTAAAATGTGGGCCCAGAACTGCTTCTACCACATCAACCCACTTTCACACAGGAGCAGGTCCTGGGAGAGAGAGACTGTTTCCGCGGGGGCTTCTAACCTGTGCTAAACCCATCTGGAAGATGCCAGGCTGTTTTTGGAAAAGCACTTTTCCTCCAGGGATGCTGCCCCTAGAGCAAACCATTAAGGTGAGAACTGCTTTCTGAGTGGCAGCGTCATGTTCAAGTAGCTCCGAAGGAGAACTGCGCTCAGAATTTCCTGACCTTCTGAACTGGGGCTGCAGTCTTCTCCGCAAGCAGGCATGGATGAGGTTGAGATGCTGGGGTGTGAAAGCCCCATCTCAGAAGTACCTGAATGCCAGTGGCTTCTTGGTGAACTGACAGAATTAAGAGCGCTAAATCCACAAAAATGCAGATAGACCATTCCAAACCCCTGCTCAGCTTGCTTTGATACCGTCTAAAACCAGAAGCCACCTTAGAACTCTATTCCAAGTACAAGCTTGGGAACTTAAAACTTCCGGAACTGTGACAATCTCACCCATTAAAAACTAGATGGACAAGATAAGATATTTGTTCAGGATCTGTGTGCAAATAATCAAATTGTGACATCAGGTTCCCCAGTTCCAAAGCCCGGCACCCTGTCACATGATGTGCCAGAGACTCTCAGTGGTTCACAGGGATAGGTCCTTACGCTGCCTTCCTCCGTGTCCCAGCTGACAGCGAGAATCAATACTCATTCACCTTCATTGGAGAAGCCAGAGAAATGGCTGGGCTGTCACGCTGCAGGGTTCATGGAAACCTCTTGCTGCTCTTCAGAGTCTAGACCAAGGCGGCAACGTTACTGTCCCCAGCACTCATCCAGTGCTATGCAAGTTGTAGTGCTCCCCACCAGGCAGGACCCAGAATTCTCTTACCACGGCAGTCCATGCAGTAAGCTCCCGTTCTCGAAAGAGAAAGTCTGCTGCTCCGAGTGTGCTTGGGTTGCAGAAGATGCTTCTGCCCCAAAAGACGGCTCACCCGGAACTAAACCATCAAGGCATTTCCTTGGGCGTGCAGGGTATTATCTTGGCTCCAGATTCTTCTCTGATTGCGATGCCCACGTAGGCACCTACAAGGAACTCAGATCCCGAGCCCATACCCAAGACAAGATAATCATGAGTAAGACTTCAGCCACCTAAAATTAGCCTTGCAGCGAACTCCAGCCCTGCAGCAGCTATGCTGATCATGAGCGTGACAGCCAGGCTCCAGAAACTAGCTTAGTGAGGGAGGAAAACAGCATGTTGCCTGCTAGAATTGTATTAGACCAGCGCACACCCGACTGCTTGGTAGCAGTAGCGCAGCAGTTAAATTGGTGCCGCGACTTACACCTGCCGGAGAGTCCGCTCGCCTCGCCTCGGCAGCAGCATTTTCCAGCAGGTGGGTTCTCCGCGAGACCTCGGCCCTTCACCGTCTCAACTCCGCTCTGGGGCCTGCCGCCTCTGCCGGCTGATGGGAGCGGTCGCCTTAACTGTGGAGCGTGGTGTCGGCTGCTGACTCCTCACAGTGGCTTGTGGGACATACCACGTAACACCCACATGGGAACGCTCATGGGGGTCCTCTGGGGAAATACCAAGCAGGATGTGCTGTTACTGGTGGCTCTTTTGCTAAGGCTCTTGTAAGTACTGGTGTGGCTTCCGCGTCTTGTGGGCTGGACGGGAAAGGTGTGTACCGAGCAGATACCTCTGCTGTGCCCGGATCAGCACCTCTGTTACTGAGGACTAGAAAGTTAGCAATCGTGCTACTTGGCTAACGCAGGCTGGCACCTCCACGGGAGCCCTCCTGGACGTCTGGGAGCACACCGCGGTTGAGGGGCACTGGGCTTCAGGCGTGCTCTCAGTCTCCTGGTCTCAGGAATTGTTTGCGCCCCTTGCGCCCTGCGTTCTGTTGACGCACTCACATGCACATGTGCCACCGTCGGCGGGCATCAAACGCTTTCGCTGCTCCGGGAGAAGGAAAAACGGGCAGCAACGGATAAACGAGCCAGGCAGCTTTTCCCTGGGGCCTGGCATCGTGACCTGTGCTTTTCACAGTGTGGCAAGAGCAGTCTTACCCCCGTGGTGACAGCGGTGCGGAGCCCAGATTTGCGGCCAGTCTTCCATGTATGACTGGGTGACACGGGAGAATTGTCACATTCATTGACCAGAGGCTGTAAGTTCAGGTGTCTCTGCCACTGCGGCGGCTGTGACGGCAAATCAAAGCCTCCGTTAGTAAATTTGTGCCGGGTGAAAGGCGTAGAGCAGTGTAGAAATTATAGAACTGACCAAATGTTTTGGAATGCATAAAGCAAGCTATATGGGATTACGCAGAAAATGAGTTCATCAAAGTCATAAATATCTTGCCTGTGTTAGAGTAGCCGTGGGCACCAGGGGCTGGCTGCAGTTTGGTGGCTAAGTCAGACGTGTGCGGCAGTAAGGGCGCCGCCAGCATTGCGAGGTGCGCACTGTCGGGCGGCAGTAAAAGGTTTCATTCTGGTGGCCGCGGCCGTGTGCTCGTGGAAGCCACCTGTTGCCTGCAGGCAGAGCGGAGTACCGGTGGCTGAAGACAAAGACGGTTAAACAGTGGTTTCCCCAGGAGGAGGGTTGCTTGTCAGGGTGGACAGCCGCAGGGGGACGCTAGAGAGGATCTGGCTGGTGAGGTACGCAAGGGAAGCAGCTGCGGCCAGTGTTGGGGATCCGGCCTTGGAGGATTCAGCGTTTCGGGGTCAGCGATTTTGCCCGCCCCCCGCCCCCCGCAGCACCAGTCTTCCAGAAGGCTGTTGCTTACTCTGATGAGCATAGCGAGTTTTCCAGCAGCCAGCCTCAGAGGGGAAAAATTAGAGGCTTTGCAAGTAGCTGAACAATGGGAACTGTTCCCAGGTTTGCTGCTGCTACAGCCTGGCCAGGCGGGCGAAGACCCAGGGCCGGGCCCTCACTGAGCTGCGAGTGGCCACTAGTGGGGCCTTGCACCACGGCACCTGCTGTTTTGAGCGTCACTTGTCTGGTGCTGTGCTGGGGCACCCTGTAGGTGCAGCTGTCGCTACCGAAGAAAGCCTTGAAATGGGAGATTCATTTTGGGGAGATGAGCTCTATCTAGAAAGTTCTGTTTCCTTGAAGGTAAACACTGCTTCTCGAAAGCAGCTCATTGCTAGAGGAAGACGTTTAGCTAACAAAGGGATTTGGATTTAGTTCACAAGACACCTTTACAGTGTATCTGGCCAAGTTTCCTGTGGTAATACAAGAGGAAGAAAGGCGATAAAGTCATTCCCAAGAAGTCCACGTTCAACTGCTTCTCTTCCCTGTGTGTGTTCCCTGCTTCCTGTTCTGTAGCTCAGAAGAAGCGTCCCCACATGCCTGTCTTCTTGGCACAGTCCTCCCCGAGTCCTCAGATCTTCCCAGCCAGAAGCTGTCCTCAGCGTAACCAGCAATGGGCTGCCCTGCGCCCCCCTGCAGACCTTCACAGAGGAGGAGCTGATGATACAGAGCACAGGTGAGGGCTGCCGGCGGGGCTCGGGGTAAGTCTCAGCACAGCCACCTCGAAGGCACACGGGGATGGCCTAAGTTCGAGCCCCGGCCGGGGAGCTGACCCATGTGCGCAGCAGAGTCCTCCTGCCCTCCTGCCCCCTCGGCCGTGGACTTCGCCCAGCTGCCTGTTCTGCTCCCTGCTCTGTCTCTGGGGAAGCCTCTCGCCCACAGTACCTCTGGCCTGCACCCTAGTTATTCTAATAAAAGTACATTAATAAATAAATAGTGTCATTAAAAAGGAAGAAAAAAGAAAAAAAGCCCACAGGTGAGTCAGCCCCCAGCTTCACCCCGTATTCCTCCGGGCTGGTTGAGGCCACACTGTGAAATGACGTGATGTGTGACATGGGGGAGAGGGGGCCGGTCATCTCCATTTGCAAATGGAGTTTTTTCACTTTAAATTTTTTTGGGAAAAAAGGAATATTCAAACAACATCGCATCTCCTGCAAAGAGTAGTGACTGATTAGTATCTCTCTTTTCTACAGTTAAAAAATTTGCCCAGGAACAAATTGCTCCTCTGGTTTCCATGATGGATGAAAATTCAAGAATGGAGAAGTCGGTCATCCAAGGCCTGTTTCAGCAGGGGGTAAATGGTGCCCTGCCCCTCCCTTTCACGCCTCCGCACCCCCTGTCTGGCGCGCCCCCGTGTCCGGCGCCCACAGGCTGTCCCTGTGTGGCCTGCAGTGTGGCGAGATGGACTCGCCTTTCCTGCCGGGGCCCTTTCAGCTTGAGGTCCTAGTAAAGATCTCCTTGACCCGTACGTCACAAACACTGGGCTTTATAATGTGAAGCACGCAGTTGCGTCAAAGATCAGAAGCAAGAGCATGTCATTTTTTGAGGCCAGCAATACCCAACTGGGTGCCGAGAGGTACTTGGCATTGTCTGGAGGTGTTCTGGGCTGTCCAAACTGGGGGTGCTACTGACATCTAGTGGATCGAAGCCAGGGTGCTGCTGAACACCCCTCTGTGCGCAGGGCAGCTCCCCACCCCTCCCCACACTCCACTCACAGCACTGAGTAAAGAAACCACCTTTGGTGAGCCTCGCTGGAGGCCAGGTCCCATCTAGTCCCTGCATGGGGAGTCAACTTTGAAGCGGAGGTGACACTGGACACCACATTCCAGCTTGTAAAGTCCCAGGGGCTGCGATGCCTGGACAGTTGAAGGAAGAGCAGGCTGGCGGTGGCCAGGCGGAGGGCGGGCGGTCTCGTCAGGAAGCTCCAGAGAGGATTTACGAAGCGCCTCTCTCCACGGGTGCCAGTGGTGGTTATTTTCTCTTGAATCCTGAGGGGATCCGAGAACCAAGAGCTCCCTGCAGCGCCCTGGCTGACGCATTGTGTTTGCATTTGAAAAATAACTGTTCCGCTTGCCTGGGTGGTTTTCTCTCTTCCTCTGGTAAGGAGACCAGCTCTTTGCCCGCTGGTGCAGTGCTGATGTCCCCTCTTCCTTTCAGCCATGAAGCTTTGGAAAAGCAGGATCTTGTTGGGGCTCCAGTAGCACCCACGGGTGATTTTTCTCAGCTAGATGCCTGCTTTCTTGCTCGCAGAACCTTTTGGCTTCTTGGAGAAGTCCCGGGGACCCGGACTGCTCTGACGAAGCGGTCGCTGTGGACAGGGTCGTCCGGCCTGGCCCATCAATCAGCTGGAGGCAAAGTCACGCCCTGTCCAGGCAGCCTCCTGGCCCAATGTCTAGCCCTGCTGACCCGGGTAGGAGGTGTGGCCAGCACAGGAGAACTGGTAGCCTTTTTAGAGAAGCTGCACCCTTCCTGGATGTCATCGGTGCCACACACCCTAAATCCCATCAGTGCCCTAAACCCCTCAGTTCTGTCCCCCAGAGCTTCACTGCCGGCTCTCACCACTTCAAACCTCCCCCTTTGTGGTTTCATATCAGCTTAGGTGCTGGTCAGCCTCAGACATCACGGTGGCAACCCAGACTGCCACTGGGCGCACTTCCAGAGGCTGGAAGGAAAGCAAGACGCATGGCCCTGAGTTGTCCACAGTGCTAGGGCTGAAGCACACACACACAACTTCTCCTCCTGAGAGGAGGACACTTACGCTGGAGGGACAGGCCGGCCCACGCTGCAGCCTTGGCAGCCTTTGGACCCTCAGCTACGGCTGAGCCCACACCAGCCGGTGCCTGGGCCTCGGCTACGTGCCTGTGGGAGACAGCAGGTGGCTGTCTGCTGGCCACCCGGACTTGCTGAGACAGCCCCAGAGCAACAGGCATTATCTGGGCTGAGAGAGCCAAGTGCAGGAGCCACCATAGAAGAGGGCAGGCCACGTGAAAGCTGCACCTTCCTACTGAGGAGGGTCCTCCAGGTCCCATATTACACTGCAATCAGTGTCGGGGCTGGGTGGGAACCACCCCAAAACAACACGTCTGGTGTTGGCTGGCAATGGCAGTTCTTAGCAATGAGCCACCAGAATGCATTTATATTGCACAAGATACGTTCTCATTATTCCATTGTCCCTCAAAGCACCTTTAACTTTAGACTCCAGAAATAAACAAACCCAGTTCTAGCAGGTCATTACCCCTCCGCCCCAGGTCACAATTCCTTTTCCTACCCCCCACACTCCCAGCATGGACGCCAGCTGTCCTTATGCCCCGCCACAGGTTGAGCAGGTGTACGAGAGGCGTGCCTCTGACGCAGATTCGCCAAGTGGCCGCCGCTTGGCCCTTCCTCCTGTTCAAATAGCTGTCGTTTCTGTAATAGGCTCTTTGGTTGCTTTGGACCGAGCAAAATAGCCACCCCAAAATAAAAGAAAATATGCACAAAAAATTTCAAAATTAAGAACTCACATAGTTAAGATTTTTTGGAACTTATTCTAAGAAATGGCCCATCTAGAAATAGCTCTCTGAGCCTGCGTTCTTGTTTCCTCTAGCTGATGGGTATTGAAATCGACACGAAATACGGAGGCACGGGAGCTTCGTTTTTTTCCTCTGTCCTGGTGATAGAGGAGTTGGCCAAAGTGGACGCCTCTGTGGCCGTGCTCTGTGACATCCAGAACACGATCATCAACACGCTGTTCAAGAAGCACGGCACCCAGGAGCAGAAGGCCGCCATTCTGCCCAAGCTGGCCACGGAGAAGGTGAGCCGAGCCGCGAGCCGGTCTGGTCCCTCCCGAGCCTGGGGCATTTTCAGGAGAAAAGGAGCCGCAATACTGATTGGACTCCCCAGGACCTACACCGAGCAACGTTAGCTCAGCAAGCAATGCCCAGTAAACAGAAGCTTCTGGAAAAATGCATTTGCCACTCGGAAGTTTAAAGAGTAGTCAGCAGACAGTAAGATCGCGTTTCCTTCCCCGCTGTCTTTCTGACAGCTGGGCTGCTGGCTTCCTTGGCGTGGAGGCAGTTACCTCAGTTATCAGCACCGGTGTAACTAAACTTAGCATCGAGGACTTACAGCCTTAACCCTGTCTTAGACAAGCAGTCGCGTCTGTGTTTGGAAAACACGGCTGTTGGAATGCCGTTGCAGCAGGGATAGGCACAGGCTCTGGAAGGGAGCTGAACGTTTAACGGGCCGCTGTTTGACCCAGGTGTTTGTCCCGCAGGGCGCCACCGTCATTAACTTGGAACTGTTTCCCTCCCTCATGTAGCTAGGAAGCTTCTGCCTTTCCGAGGCCGGTGCAGGCAGCGACTCGTTTGCCCTCAAGACCAGAGCTGACAAAAAGGGAGACTATTACGTCATCAACGGGTCCAAGATGTGGATCAGCAGCGCCGAGTATGCGGACCTCTTCCTGGTGATGGCCAACGTGGACCCTGCCGCCGTAAGTGTGCGGACCCGGCCCCCGCCCCTCCCCCACCCCCAGCTCTTCTTTATGCCCCTTTTCCTACCTCCCCTCCTTTTGAGGATTAGCCTTAAATTCTCAGTACTCAGAATGGTAGAAAAATGACGTCTTTCATCCTCTTATTTACTGAATCTCCTAAAATACTGTGGCTTTTAACTACCTAGAAGGCCTGTTAGAATTATTTCTAATTTTAATGACTTGTAGGGAATGAATCTTTCATTTTGTAGAATTTACAGTATTGTACTTAATAATGAAGACTTAAGAACCACTTTACACTTTATTTTTAAGACTATTTTACTCAGCTGGAAATAGAGTAAATACATTTTATCACTTGCCTGTCTTTAATGTGGAATTTAATTGAACTAAGTTTTAGAACTTTAACATAATAAAGAAAATGAAAAATGGAGGTCTTGTGATCTTATAGTAATTTATTTTCATAGCCGTAGTGGTATCTAAAAATGTAAGAAATGACCCAGCTCTTGGTGTGAACTCACGTCTGCCGATGACGCCTGATTGGTAGTGCAGACATGCTGTGAGCCTGAGGTCTTTAGTATTTCTTACTAAAATCCATTTTTAGTTTTCTGTTGACTTTGGAAAACTCTCTGGAAACAAGGGATCTCCTTGATCTAAGTGGAAACAGCATTCTGAATCCTCTTTGTAGGGGTATAAAGGAATTACCTGCTTCATAGTGGACCGTGGTACCGAAGGTCTCCAAGTAGGAAAACCAGAGAACAAAATGGGCATCCGAGCCTCTTCCACCTGCCCGCTGACATTTGAAAATGTCAAGGTGAGTATGTCAGCATTTTGCTCAAAGAAGGCTGGGAGGGCCCTTCCCAGGGGCACAGCGGGTCAGGACGCCGCACTGGAAGAGAGCCGCAGCCACGTCAGTGCCAGTTTGACCCCGCCTGCCCCGTAGCTGACCCACAGGGCGCGGCAGACCTCTCCTGGCCGCCCGCTCAGTGTACTCTGTCCCTCTGCCTGTTCTGCTTCCCACACTGTCCCTGGGGAAGCCTCTCGCAGCCCCTGCACCTCTGGCCTGTACCCCTGTTCTGTATGCAGAAATAAATATATCTTTTCTTAAAAAAAAAAAAGATTTATTTATTCATACAGAACTGGGGTACAGGCCAGAGATGCGGAGGGTGAGAGAATTCACCAGAGACAAAGCGGGGAGCAGAACAGGAAGATCGAGGAAGCACACTGCTGAGGGGAGCAGCGGGCGGGTCAGGAGAGGTCTGCCGCGCCATGTGGATCTCCTCCAGGGCGGGCAGGCGGGGATCCAACTCATGCGGAAGTGGCTTAAGCTTCTTAATGCTGTGCTTTAACCCGCCGTGCCACCAGGGAGGGCCGAAATAAATAAATCTTTAAAAAAAAAAAAGAATGCTAGCAAAGAAGCTTGACGTGGCACTCCAGCTATGCACAAAAGGTGGCAAATACTGAGCTTGTGTAGGAGAGTATTTTGTAAAACCCCAGTGAAGTTCTTAGGTTCTCACCTTAGGCACTAAATATCCATGCATTTCATAGAGTGAGGCCAAGAGTGGAAAAGTGGAAAATTGCTGCCCAGAAGCTGGCCTCCGGAACCATGCCCGTGATGCACCCCACTCACACACTCGTGGACCTTGTAAAAGTCATGTATTGTCAACTTGGTGATCGTGGGCCAAGCAGGGCTTCAGAGAAGGCGGTGTCGCCACAACGCAGGCCACGAGGTGGCGACATTGCACAGGGAGCGTGGAAGCCTCCAGAGGCCCAAGGCTTGTGCTTCAGAACTTTGCTGCAGGGCGGCTGTGGCGGCTTTCCTGCTCCTGTGAACATTTGATCGTGTTGCTTGCAACTGCGCCTGTGCTCACAGCGGTCTCTAGAGAGACGCCCCTTGGCCCCTCCTATCGTCTTGCTGCTCTCCCACCCTGCCCCTTTCCTAACTGCCCGGACTATAAAACTAAGAGTATTTTTCTTGTTTAAAAATTATGAGCCAACTTTGCCTTCTGTTTTCTCTTCCTTTCTCCTCCTCGCTGTTGTGCATGTGTGTACACGCACACCTCACTTGATTGTTACGGAGATGATAATCTTGATGGAAGAAAGCTTTGCTAGTCTTGCCTTAGTGCAATGTAGCAGGTAGGGGGGTTGGACAGGAACTGTGACTGTTATGCTACTGATGAATTGCAGGAGAGGCCTTTTTCTAGATTCATTCATTCATCGCATGTCAGTGCTGAGCCCCATCCCTCTGAGAGCCACGCAGGGCAGACTGGAGGGAAACGGACCTGGCACAGTTTCCTTGGCCTTTCTTCATTGTCTCTGCAGTCCTAGTATTGCACACGTTAGGATAGGTGCGCACCGAACGCCACATAGCCCAAACAAAGCCTGTCGTGTCCGACTGAGAAGTAACTGCATGTTTTCCGTTCCAGGTTCCAGCAGCCAATATCCTGGGGCAGGTCGGACATGGGTACAAGTACGCCATCGGGAGTCTTAACGAAGGCAGAATCGGAATCGCTGCTCAGGTTAGTCGTATTTTAGCATTTGATTGTTCCATGGCCTCAGCCAATTAAAATGTAAAAAGGAAAACAAGGGGGAAAACCGGTGACTAGCCGGCCGGCCACTTTGAACACCAGGGGGCGCCCTTCCCTTGCGGAGGGGAAGGAATGGCTTCCCTGCTGTCCTTAAAATGCCACTTTGCTCCATCATACAATGTCCGGAGAAGCAAACAGTGGCCAAGCGGTGGCCCTTCCTGCTTTGAGAACACCGAAGTATTATGCGATAATTTTCTAAAATACATTGTAAATTAAATCTGGCATTTTTTTCAAACACCCATTTTCCAAGCATGAGTCTGGAAGATATTTTTTAAATTAAGAATAAATACCACGATGTCAGAGTCTGTAATCCCAAGACAGTGAAAGAATTGTTCAGTGTTTTGCATGTAAAAATCACACCGTTTTGTGTGAGATACTTGGAAATAAAAGCCAGCGTTAAACAGATATATGAGAGCCGTGAACTCACCAAGTTTGCCTCTTTTTCATAGTGCTGTTGTGGATTAGATACTGTATCATGCTGTAGGATACACTTGTTTCTTTTTAACTAGCGAATATCCACACCAGAAATGATAGCTTTGAGATTTGAAGATGTCGCCTGTTGGCTCTTGCAATAGTTTAATGTGGTTTCACTGTAGATTTATTTCCTTCTACTCTTACTTTGCTAGATTAAGACCTAACGCATGATCCCCACAGGCTAGATGAACTGTTACCAAAAAGAAGCTGCTCATTTGTTCTTCCTGGAGGTTTCCGCGTGAGTCAAGCTGCATTAAAAGCGCGGTGCTGGCTCTCACTGGTGGCAGCCGCAGAGTGACCCCGCTATTCCGCAGTAAAATGCACGGCCTGGCTTTGGTCTGTCGTTGCAGCCAAAGTAAGGACTAAGGTCAGGCGTCACGTGTCGTGGTTATCGTGTTGTGCCCGTGGGTGCCGCCCAGGGAAGAGGGACGTGTACCAGTGAGCTGGAGGCGCAGTCACAGTGCTGCAGTTGGAGAGTGTAGTTTCCGGTATTTGTAGCGAAAACAAATGAGATGGAAAAGCCTGTTGCGATTGACAGCCGATCGATTCAATTTTCATGTCAGCCAGGGTGTTATTAACATGCTGTGAAATTTAGCTGCAAGGTATAGTGACACCATCTTACCTCAGAATTGGAAGAGCAGCGAGTCGCTCCTCGCCTTCATTTGCTTTTTGGATGGTGTTTTATTTCTGCTCTTTAATTTTTAGCATAATATTCCATTCTCCAGAAAGTTCAGGATAAAATGTGAATGAACACTAATGAAATATTGATGTTTGTGGGTATTTTCTCCAAAAGCTTTAACTATTGATTTTTCCCCCTTTCCCTAAAACCTACATAGTCTGACATAATTAGATAGTGATTTACTGGCTGCCTAATATTGAAGTTTAGAAACCGTTTCTAAGCGTGAATCATTCCGTAGACGTGGCGACTGGATGGCATTGAGAGTCGGGCTGTTCGCCCTCCCGGTGCACACGGGACTCTTGGGACCAACTCGTGTCTGTGTCCTAAGGAGGCTTACATGCCGAGCCAGGCCACGCTCACCCTCCTCTCCCGAGGTTTGGATCATTCCCGGCGTCAGGGCTTTGGTTATCAAGTTTTCTAGATGATTCCAGTGGGTAGCCAGGGCTGAACCCCCTGTTCCCTCAGCTCCTCACGTCCTTTCCCCCGAAACACTTTTTTTTTTTTAAAGATTTATTTATTTATTCATACA